CAAAGAACCACTGCAGCCCTACAGCTCATTGGAATAGTACAATTAATACAGCAATTCCCCTTTTTTTCTTTCATCTTTGGGCTGCATTCTTTCGTTTTCTAATTTATAGTGTGTTCCATTGAAGTATTTAACACAAATATTGTAAGAATAGATTTTTCATATAACAACTTATTTGCACTTTATATTTTTTATATTTTTAATCTAAAAATGTAGTGTGTTATATACTTTACATGATTTAGGGACTGTAAATTACAGATCTGATGCAACTCCACTGGGATATAATTTCGTCTTTTTAGAATTTAACATCATATCTAAGTGGCCACAGGCCATAATACCATGCTATAATTTATGGTACAGACACTTTTTATTTAACGATATACTAATTTTATTTAATGATATACTTGTTCACCACACTATCAAATACAAGGCTGTAAAATTCTGACACTTTTAAGCCTAAATTCAAGTATCTAAATATATGATTTTATAGTACACAAAGGCTAACAAACTCAGTTTAGGAAGCAGTAATCTAGTTCCAACTCAATATCCAAAGAGGTCAAATCAGTGTCATGCAGGTATGTAGTGAAACACTAGAAACAGAAAATTTAGTGTATCTGATGGAAACTATCAATTATTTAATATTACAACAACATCTTGGGCAGCAGTCAAGATTGGGGCTTGATTGTGCAAAGCACTATACAAATATGAAGTAAACACCATCTCTCTACCAGCTATTTCCCCCTAAAAATGCAAATGTGCACAGAGAAATCCCTTCCTAACCCCTGAGGCAATTGTTCACATGATAGTAATTTGCGTCAAGATTTTTAGACCTGACCAATGATTTCTGATTGCTTCAGCTTTTGGTCACCCAATTTACAACACTTTAAAGAAGCCTGATGGAAGTGTTATGTACCTTCCCTCTAAATAATCACTTCCCTGCCAGGCTTCTCAAATTAGGTATCCAAAAATGGAATCCACCAAAATCCCTGGTCACACCTAAAAATTTGTAATTATTCCTATGCAGAGGTAAGGAGGAATAATGACAAATGTTATTGGTGTACTGAAATATAAACAATGCCTATTACTAATGAATTTCCTGGTGCTGGGGTCTAGAACTAATACCAGTCTGCATGTGATTACTTTAAAAACAAATAGCATCTGGGTCAAATACAGAGCACTTTATCCTGAGAAATGGGTTTTAAATGAAAATGAGGAAAACAGGACATCCATTTCATTGTCTCTTATTTTCACTGGCAGTCTACAAATGGTGCTCTGATCCCTATTTTTAAGTCTGGTTTAGAGAAATGTGCGAGCGAATGATGTCTCCTCTGCCTCATTGTGCCAGCCACTTCCTAGCACTGAGCTCCGCTTTGACATGGTGCTCTCTGAGATGCACATCCATCATCAGCCAATGCTGTGAGCGGCTGCTCAGTGCTGAGTTTGTCAGATGGAATTGGTATCACACAGAACAGGAGAAGCCAGAAGAGTTTAGACTGGATTTAAAAGCTGACTGCACTTGGAAGCAATTCCTTATCACTAGAAGATGGCAAAACATGGTAACTGTAAGGCCAATCAGGCTATGAAGCAATTCTTGGAGGGGGGCGGGGAATCCTATAAAACAGTTTTTATGACTTTAGTATTAATGACTTATGAACTATTTAATTAGATACAAGGATGTTTTCAGACTGGGTGCTCTTTAAACCTGTCATAGCCATGGCAGATGTTTTTAAAAAGTGAGTGTTCACTTATATTTTCTAAAAGCTCAACATAAACTAGTTTGTACTCCTACATGATTAACCAGGACTTTTTTTTAATAGTTCTTGCCATTGTTTTCTTAAGCATAACACCATCTGGTGTTCCTGCTAAACATCCCCATAACCATTACATTTCATTTTCATTCACAGTAAGCCATTTGTCACTGAGGCGTGGGGAGTCATCAGGCCCTGCACGCCCATCAGCAATCAGATGTGACTGTCAGCCAGCAGGTAGAACAGAAGGTTTATTAGTTGACAGGGACACAGCAGAGAACAGACATGTCAGTACAGTAACCAGAAGCAGTCAGTACAATCCATCTTGGGGACACGGGGCTCAAAGCCAAGGGCCTTACTCCCCATTCCTGTCCCCAAGCCAGTGAGACTAACCCACACTCAGAAACCTGCCCCAGCCCTACAGCCAGCCTCACTAGCCAGCGAGACTAACCCACACTCAGAAACCTGCCCCAGTCCTGCAGCCAGCCCCACTTCAGGCCTTTGTCCAGCTTCCCAGGCAAAAGGTGTCACCTGGTTATCTCCCCCTTCTCCCCAGGCTCAGGTTACAGAAAATATCAGCCATTGTGTACATGGAGACAATTACACCAAAATGCCCATGGTGCACTAGCACATGGGTTTACTACAGGGTAGTAGAAATCACATGCAATATAACAAAGTGAAAAGATCAAACACAATCCTCCTTTGTCGCACCATTTTAGAAAGTAAATACTATCCCTTTTGGTACTTGAATTAAAAATGTTATGCTATTTAAATGTAACAAACCAGGAGATTTGTGTGTACATACATGGACAAGTACTTATATCCCCACACATGCCAAATTTTGAAGGAGGGATATTTTGCTTGCCAGAATGGTAGTTTGCTTACACCCATGAGATGTCCTAGCTTTGGCCATTAGTCCACTTAACTTAATTCAGTAGACGTATGTACTCCAATTTTAAGAGTATTTTTTGAATAAAGGACAATTCTGGTTTCCTGTGCTAGGGGGGCATAGAAATACCACGAGGCAGCAAGTTTTGTGGTTAGAAAGCATGGATAAAGCAAAGGTCTGTCCTCTGCTCTACAAATAACATAGGGCTTGATATAAAAGCTGGCACTCGAAATTCCATTGAGAGGTGTGGAGGCTCAATTTCTCTGAAAAGATCAAGTCCTTATGGTATAAATGCCTAAGCATTACTGTTAACCCTCCCCCTCCCCCCATAACTGATTTTCTGTGGCTATAAATGTAGTGCAAGTCTAGGTTTGCACATCTGTCTTCACTGGATAAATGGTCGAATGCTACCAACTAGAATATATGGCTGCTGCCTAAAGGCAGCACCTCACTAAAAAAAAGAACCAAGAAGGTAAAGAAACATGGAAGAAAATGGAGGGAAAGATAAAGGAAGAAAAGAAAGGACAAACAAAAGAACAGGAGGTGAAATATCACAAGGAGAAGGAGCAAATGCCCATGTGGAGAAAGGTGACGATTGCTGTCAGAACCCAAAAACCAAGTGCCCCCCCCACCCCGGTGCTGCTAGGCTGGAATCCACCCCCCTGCTGTGAGCAGGGGCTGCTCCAGCCCAGCCAGAGCACCCCAGCCTATGGCAGACTCTACAGGGCCACTTGCTACAACACCCACTGGCTAATTATAACCAGTTAACCATTTACGCTAGGCTGGGTGCAACATAGCTCATTTGAAGTACTATTGATCTCTGTTGGCTATAACAGGCATAGCTGCAGCTTGAAAAGCGTGTGATTTCATGTAAGTTAACTAAGAACCCCAGTAGAAAAAGGAAAATAAACAGGTGAGCAAAGGAAGAGTACACAGAGATGAGCTCCCTCTGACTCAAATGAGTGACGACTACTCGTGGAAGAAACTTTCATTAAATACCAGCTAGTGTTCCAGGCTAGACTTTTCTAACGGGCTTAGAATGAAGAGTAACTTGTCGTTTTAATCCTCAAATCAGTCATTGGTGTATTTTTATCACAATATAAACATCTGTTTTATAAGAGTAAGTGATAAAGATTGCAATTGGATGTTAGCATATGCTGGTAAAGAACTGATGTGGTTTTCACTCTCTAGCTTTTGTTTCACTAGGTGCATCTTTAGTTTACCAATAGAAAAAGTGGTTATTACATTATAAAATACAAATGTGCATGTTTTATTGATGCTTTATAGTCAGTTTCATTTCAGTGTAACCCATGTAAGCAACTGGTTTATGAGGTCTTGATCCTGCAAATTACTTTCCCCAGGCAGACCTTTGTGCCCCACTGCAAATTAGGGATGCATCTGGAAGGGCTATTGTTGCAGGACTGGAGCCCAGATTAGTCATTTGCAAAACAACCCACCTTCACAGACCAGTATTTACATAACAGGAGCCATTTTGATTCTTGTGTCCAACTCCATGTCAATGGCTGATTTATCACAATATAAACAATTGTCAAAGACTGCCAATTGTCAAAGAAGGTTCTGCTGCAGCTTCCTGTTCTCATTCCTCTGCCTCTACTGGAGAGCTTAAAGCCAGACACTACTATTTTAGAATCCTCAAAATAACAGTAAATGAAACTAAAAGTTGAACCTCTCTTGTCTGGGACTCTGTGGTCATGCAGGACCACAGATGTTGCTAGATCAGAGCCCAAGCTACAGAGACTGAGAGTAACAACTGGTCTGGTCTGCGGCAGCCCACATGACCAAGGACCTGGAAGTAGAGAGCCCTGGGAGAGACTGTCACCCCGGGGGGACAGAGGCAGAGAGCCCCATGGGGTGACAGTCTTGCCTTGCACGGAGCCAAGCAGCTGAGGCTAGGGAATCCCAGGATAGCTGCCACCACTGGCGCAGCAGAACCAGGCAGGTGGGCCAGAGCAGGTCAGGCCGCCAAGTTTTCCCGGGGCAGCAGCCAGGAGGGGAGCCCCAAGAGAGCCCGGATGCCTGACCTTCCCTGGTCTGGCAAATTCCTTTGTTCAGGACCATTCAGGTCCCAAGGGTGCCAGTCCAGGGAAGTTCAACCTGGACAAGACAGGATTTTTTTTTTTTAAATGCAGTTCACTGCTGAGAGACATGCTGATGCTGGAATGTCTCCTGTGATAACTTATTGCAAAAATACTCAAACTACACATGAAATGGGCCATTTTTCTAATTACATGCAACAGGACAAAGAGAAAATTCTCCAATGACATTCTGAATCCATGGTTTGATAATATCTTAGAGGTAGAAACAACTGCAAGTTAGAATACATTGAATAAGGGCCTGCCATCAGATCATGAGCCAGACTCTTAAAATTTTTAATGTAGTTTTGCTAGGCATCAATGCTACTATACAACTAACATTTAAATGAAACCAGTATTTTTCATAGATTCATATAATGAATGGCCAGAAGGGACCATTAGATCATCTACTCCCATGGTGTGCAATCAGTTCTGATGCAAACTAGCCATACTCAACCAGCCAGATAGCCACATGTGGCTAGCGTGTTGGACACCACAAATCTGTTCTGACTTGCTTTCTTTATATTACAGGTCATTACATTTCAACCATTTATTCCTATACTAAGTCTAATACCTTATTTGGTTAAAGCATATTTTTAAGAGGCACCCAGCCTTCATTTAAAGATATCAAGAGTGATCTCTCTTCCCTTGGTAGTTTGCATCAATGGTCAATCACCACCGTTAAAAACTGTGCTTAATTTTTATTGGAATGTGCCTGGTTTTAGTTTCCAACCACTTAATCAAAAATGTTTCTTCTTGACAAATTTTTTAAAAAAAATGTGATGCACATCTTTACTTTCATAAACCAATCATATACAAATGTTGTTGTTTCAACTTCATTCTCTACTGAACCACATTTTATTTGCAAGTGTAGTTTACAATAGAAACTACACATCCTAAGAGGTTTTCTGTGGAGTTACAAAAAAATTCCAAAAGCAATTCACTTCCATGTCTTCAGGAGCACAAAATCTTCTGCATAAGCCGGCTCTAAAATCAGAATCAGCGAGATTCTCCACCTCCTTTTCCCCGGCTTCTAGACCTCATTTCGTGCCAAGCCTTCACCAATGGTTCTCTGTTCTTCCATATGAGTTCATGGCCATACATTATATACCATCTGTAAACAAAAACAAAACTTCAACTGAAATTAGATCATGGAAAGCTAACAGTAGGAACGAGATAGATATTTCCGTTATCTTCCTTCAGTGTTCTGCTCAACACCACAACAGATCGGATAACCAGTGGAAGCCAGGGTAAGTTTTGAAAAGAAGTTTGATAAACTTTCAGAAGAAAACATTGACAACTTTAGGTCAGCTTTCTCAGTCCATTTACTCCTAACTTACACAGTTCTAACTTCCACCTGCCACCATGCAGTTGAACAGCAGTTAACACCTCACATTTTCTGTCTACTGTAGCCAAAGTTTTTTCACCAAATGCTACTCCAC